ACATGGATCCAGCTGCTTCTCTAGCCCAGGATCTGATCTCAGTTGCTTCTACCGTCTGCTCATCAAGACAGGGAGAGATGCGAGCTCACCCACTAGGCTTTCCTTCTCACAGCAGCAGCTCCATGCGTATGGTTCAGTTTTATACGCATTGATGGCAGACCCTGCTACGCCATCACATTGAGAACTCACCTGAATAAGAGTTCTGAGTCAAAACATTCTTTAAATGTTGGTGAACTGGAACTCATTTTGGGTTCTAGAAGATATGAGGTAAATGGAGAACTGTAAGCTAAACTCCAACTGTTATACCACCTGATTTATTAGTCATGTGGGATTTTCAAAGGGACAACAATTCTATCTGTGAACTTCTTCAAACTGAGGCTTAAAATTTTTTTTTTTTTTGGCTGATCTAGAACCCACTAAAACAAAATATTAAAGGATAAACTTACATTTAAAAGGATAAAGAATGAAGAATTTGGAATACTCTCAAGTGTACTCATTCCTATAGTGAGGTAGCTCTGACTTGGTTTTAATAAGATGAAGACACAAAATCATAAAGGGTATTCTGATGATTATGAATGATCAAAAGTCTCATCTATTCTGAAATTATTTTGTGGCATCAATTTGCTAATTTCCATTACTTATATCATGAATTTTCTCAACTTAGGGCATTCTTAGGCCATTTTTCTTTCCATTTGAGACTTATTTCACCCATCATGTTCAAAAGGTACTAATAAACATTTTGGGAAGCAACTTAAAATGTAAATCCCACGAGTTTCTACTTACAAAGACCTGTTTCTAAAAATCAAAAACCACCCTGTTTTTATATCCCCTCCTCATGGTTACTGCTGGACCCACAAACATTCTTGCACCCAAGCCACATGATTAGTCTCACAAAGCCCTGCAGTTTCCTAGGCCTTGGACAGCAATACAATTAAGGTAAAAGCTAAGCATCCCGACAGAACAAACAAGATGGTGGATCGGGTGGAAGGGCAGTAAAGGAGCTCCGCCAACAACACATAACACCCAACCAGGCAGGCTCAGGGGCTGGTCCCAGAACTCTGAACCACATATAAAGGAATACTTAGAAGGTTGGAAGGCTCACAGCTGGGGGAATTTGTGGCAGAAGCAAGAAATCCATTGC